CGATCTTTGTTCCAAGACGACTCATACAGTCTGACCATTTGTTGTATGTCATGTAAATACATAAATAGTGTGTTATGATTAACTTTTATTTTAATAAAAGTTTTCTATAAATATTAATTATATTGTAAATACATAGACAGTGACAGTGTGTTATGATTAACTTTTATTTTAATAAAAGTTTTCTATAAATATTAATTATATTGTAAATACATAGACAGCGACAGTATGGTATGATTAACTTTTATTTTAATAAAAGTTTTCTGTAAATATATTATAATTGTCACACGCTTAAGTAGAACAAAACTTTCATTTTATTCTAGGCGAATTAACTTTATTAAGAAACGACAGAAGTATAACAAAGATTGTACACTAACTTGTATGAAAACTAATGTAATTCATATATATTTCAGGATATTATTCTGTCAGATAAAAATTGTCCACATTGTAAGAGAGGTGATATCGATATTTCTTTACGCTCTTAAATTATCACACCTTCAAGAAGTAAAGACTATATATCTAACTTTGCATGTTATATTTAAATGACAAATATACGAGTTATAGATCGAAACTTAGTATAATGGACGTAATAACTCATTTGGATTGCAATAAACATACTGGATTTATAAAACATGAAAGAAAAGGTATGTATTATCTTTTATCATAAGAAACTTGAAATAGAATTTCTAGGCTGTTTGTCTGTTTTGTATAAGCGATCGAAATACTTGTTGTTTTTGGCGCGTTTCCTGTCTATTTATGTCCAACAGATTTGTTTTATTTACACTGTTATATGATTAAACATTTAAATATCCCTTAATGTGTGACACTTTACAAGTCTTGATTTGTATATTGAAGGTCAGTTTTAAACTGTAAGTAAAGTGCACAGCTGATTTAATTTTAAAATGTTTTGTATAATTTCTAAAATAAATAAAAATTTGATTACTTGTGTAAAATGAATATTAATTATAGTTTATTATTATGAAATTATTATAGTAACCGGTGTTTTTTTGTTACAAACACTGAATCATTATCAAAACTGTAGTCACTAGCTAGCCAGTTATTGCAAAATAGACTTTATTATTCTAATCCTATGGACCAAGCCTGTCAGTAGCCTTGAATATCAAACACATTGGACTGTCACACATTGTTTCTCCGAACTGTTGTGTTTTCATCAAACTCTGCTCTACTTCCACATTGCAACACAGTACTTATGTCGCAAGCCACATAGACTTGGTCAACTCAGAACTGACCTTTGTCATTCTAAGTAGATGGTTTTTCTAGCTTGTATATTTCCAAGCTGGTCAGTGATCTTCAATGAGTCAGACTTGGTAGACTGCTTTTTGAGTTAATAAAAGCTTTACATGTCTAGTTGTTCTTCTTACAAGAACTATGTGTGAAGTAATGTTAAACAGTATCAATGTTTGACATCAGATACGGGTTCGTTAGTCGTATAATAAAACAACATGTAGAAATTTGTATGTGTGTTTCATTGATGCAAATATCACAGATACTTTGTAGACTGCATTTTGAACACCTTACATCCAGTGTGGTTCTCAAAGATTTATGGTCAATGTTGTTATTCTACAATAGTAATTAATTATATGTACGCCCCCCAGTGGCACAGCGGTATGTCTGCGGACTTACAACGCTAGAATACAGGTTTTAATACCCGTGGTGGGCAGAGCATAGATAGCCCATTGTGTAGCTTTGTGCTTAATTACAAACAGTAAAATTATATGTAGTAAAATGTAAGTTTTAATCTCATTCAAACATTTTACATTAAATAAT